CATCATTTTGCTTCCTTTAAGCCTCCAGTGACTGTGGGTTACAATCTTGAACCATAAAGCTACTTACTGGAGCTGATTCCTTCTTAATGATTTTATTCCCTCAACATTGCCCCCAGTGTTAAAGCCATGGCTACCCTACAAGAGTACCTCTGTGTCTTTAGTGTCTTGAGTTAAAAATTTTAGTGATTGTTTCTCTGGAAAACTATGCTCCTGCATCAAGAATTGGTCAGCTCATTAAAGCAGGCAGCAGACATAAGAACTCCCAACAATTTAGGAACCTCCTATTTGCTGTGTCTTGCATCTACAAAAGGATCTTCATTTTTTTAAGATAACCTATGAAACTGAAGCAGTTGGTGGCAAATTAAGTGTGACTGCAACAAGGGAAAACATGGCATACACTGCGGAATGCCTCCAAGATGATGTCAGTATTCTAACAGAGTTGCTGCTCAGTGTCACCATAGCACCACAGTTTCATCACTGGGAAATAACTGCCCTTCGGTCTCAGCTGTGGCTTTTCAGAATCCAGAGGCTCATGTCATTGCAGCTTACCAGAATGCCTTGGTTAGTTCTTTGAATTGTTCTGATTATAGAATTGGAAAAATGGCATCAGAGGAGTTATATTACCATGACCAGAAACATTTTGCAAGAGTGACTTTGATTGGACTTGGTGTGAGTCACCCTGTTCTAAAGGAAGTTACCAAATTGTTTCTCAACATGAAGGGTAGGTTTAGTTTATCTGGTGTGAAGCCCAGATTTTGGGAGGGGGGTGAAATTTGAGAATAGAATAGAGACAGTCTTAGCCGGGCACCAGTGGCTCACACCTGTAATCCTAGATACTCAAGAGACAGAGATCAGGAGGATCAAGGTTCAAAGCCAGCTGGAAAAAAACCCATCACAAAAAAGGGCTGGTGGAGTGACTCCAGGTGTAGGCCCTGAGTTCAAGCCCCAGTATCACCAAAAAAAAAAAAAAGGGAGACAGTCTTATCCATGCTGCATTCACAGCAGAAAATGCTGCCATGGGAAATGCAGAAGCAATTTCATTTTGTGTTCTTTAACCTGTTTTGGATCACATATGAAGAGGAGTAGCAATTCCCCCAGCCCTCTGTACCAGGTTATTGCCAAGGGAATTTACCAGCCATTTGATGTTCCAACTTTTAATGCCAGTTACTCAAATTCTAGATTCTTTAGGATTTACATGCTCTTCTCGGCTGCAGCTACTAGAGATGCTATCAAGGCTGCCTATAACCAAGTAAAAATGATCACTTGAGGAAACCTTTCCAATATAGATGTCCAGGAGGCCAAAAACCAACTAAAAGCTGGATACCTAATGTCAGTGGAGTCTTCTGGGGGTTTCCTGGAAGAAGCTCGGTCCCAAGCTCTAGTTGATAGCTCTTACATACCACCGTGCACAGTCCTAGGCAGATTGACTTAGTGATTGACATTCGTGTCGTAAATGCTATATAGAAGTTTGTGGCCAGAAATGAATGGTAACAAGTGGAAATTTGGGGCACACACCCTTTGTTAGTAAGTTATATTAATGAAGTATATGTTGCAGGATGAGAACTGAACAATTTGTCACCCCAGAGCAGCGAACACATGAATGTCAAAAGTCTGGACTATAACAGTTCTCTTTTGTTTCAATGAGGTAAAATATCTTAAGGCATTAATGAAGGTAATTATTCCCAACTGACTAAAATCAATAAAACATTCTGCTTAAAAAAAAAAAAACACAAAGATGAACAAGAGTGGAAAAAAGGAATAAAGGCTATATAAAACAACCAGAAAAAATTTAACAGAATGACAGAAGTATGTCTTTACTATTAATCAATAATAACCTTGAATGTAATCAATTAAATCCTGATTAAAAAGTACAGAGTTGCTGACTTGATTAAAAAATAAGAACCAACAATATGCTGTCAATGAGAAATTAACTTCATCATTAAGACATACATATACTGGAAAATAAAGGGATAGAAAATGATATACCATGTAAATGGAAACCAAAGTAAGCAGGAGTAGCTATACTTATTTTAGATAAAATAGAGTTTAAGCTGGGCACAGTGGTTCACGCCTGTAATCCCAGCTACTTGGGAGGTGGAAATCAGGAGGATGGCAGTTTGAGGCCAGTCTAGGCAAAAAGTTGGGCTCCATCTTGGCCAAAAAACTGGGCATGGTGGTACATGCCTGTCATCCTAGCTATGTAGGAGGCATAAATTGGAGGACTGCAGTTCAGGCCAGACCAGGTAAAAATGCAAGACCCTATTCAAAAACTAACTAAAGCAAAAAAGGGTAGAAGAGTAGGTTAAGTGGTAGAGTGTCTGCCTACAAGTGTGTGGCCCTAAGTTTAAACCCCAGTACTGCAAAAAAAAAAAAAAAAAGTCTTTAAATAAGAAAGAGACAAAGGAAGTTATTATACAATGATAAAGGGAGCAATTCAACAAAATGAAATAACAGTTGTGAACATGTATGTATTCAATGCTAGAGTACCCAATTGCATAAGCCAAACATAACTAGACCTAAATGGAAAGATAGACTCTAATACTGTAATTATTTAATATCCTTCTTTCATCAGTGGACAGATCATCCAGTCAGAATCACAGAAGCATCTGAGTTAAACTATACTAAAAACCAACATTTACAGAATGTTTCGTCCAACAATTGCAGAATGTATATTCTTACAAGCACATGGAACATTCTTCAGGATAGACCAAATGTTAGGCCACAGAGCAAGTCTCAAGAAATTCAAAAAGAATTAAAATTGTAGCATACATTTTCTCTGACATCAATAGAACAAAATTAGAAATCACCAAGAGCAACTTAGAAATTATACAAACACATGGAAATTAAACATTCTCTTGAATGACCAATGAAGAAATCAAAAGAGAAATTGAAAAATTTCTTGTCACAAATATAAATGAAAACAATATAGCAAAGCCTATAGGATACAGCAAAAGTAGTACTAACAGGGAAGTTCATAACAATAAAAGCCAATATTAAAAAAAAAAAAAAGTGGAAACTGCCAGGCATCAGTGACTCATGCCTGTAATCCTAGCTACTCAGTAGGCAGAGATCAAGAGGATGGAGGCTCAAAGCCAGCCCAAGCAAATAGTTTGTGAGACCCTATCTTGAAAATACCCAACACAAAAAAGGGCTGGCAGAGTGGCTCAAATAGTAGAGTGCCTGCCTAGCAAGTGTGAGATCCTGAGTTCGAACCCCAGTACCAAAGAGGAAAAAAATGTGGAAAGATTCCAAATAAAGCAACCTAATGATGCAACTCAAGTAAGTGGAAAATCAAGAATAAACCAAACCTAGAAGGAAAGAAATAAAAATCAGAGTGAGAATAAATGAAATAGAAACTTTAAAATAGCACAAAACATCAATGAAATGAGGAATTTATTTTTTTAAAGATAAAATTGACAACCTTTAGCTAAACTAGCTAAGAATAAAGAGAAATAAGACCTAAATAAGTAAAATCCAGGATGAAATAAAAGACATGACTCATACTGCAGAAATAAATTTCTAGACACATACAACCTACCAAAATTGAACCATAAGGACATGGACTACCTGAACAGACTAATAAGTAAGAAGATTGAATCAGTAATAATAACAATATTTTTATTATTATTTATTTTTATTGGAAGCAATAAAGAAAAGCCTAGGGCCAAATGGCTTTATTGCTGAATTTTGCTAAACCTTTAAAGGGGAACCAATGCCAGTTCTTCTCAGACTAGTCCAAAGTATTGAAAGGGAACTCCTCCAAACTCATTCTGTGAAGATAACATTTGGTATCCTGATACAACAAAAAAAGAAAACTAAAGAACAATATCTCTGATGAACATGCAAAAATTCCCAATAAAATGCTAGCACTACACCATGATCAAATGGGGTTCATCCCATGGGATCAGGAATGGTTCCACATATACAAATCAATAAACATAATATATTACAAATTACATGCAAATCAACAAACATATTTTGTGTATCAACAGAGTAAAGCACAAAAACCAAATCATCACCTCAATAGATGTAGAAAAAGCACTTGATAAATCAAATTAAACAATTCTTCATGATAAAAACCCTCATAAATTAGGTACAGAAGGAACATATCTCAACACAGTAAAGGTTTAATATGTCAAGCCCACCACCAACATACTCAATGGGGAAAAGCTGAAATTGTTTCCCTCAGGATCAGGAACAAAACAAGGATGTTTCTACCACTCCACTCAATGTAGCATTGGAATTTTTAGTCAGAGCAATAATACAAGAGAAAAAAATAACGGGCATCTAATTAGGAAAAGAGAAGGTCAAATTAGTCCTGTTTGCAAACAACACAAATTTACATATGGAAAAATCTGAAGAACACACACAACTGTAGAATTGATAAATGTCATAATTCGCATTTATAGTGCCCTTGACTCTTGGAGACACTTGAGTTGGTAATTTTTAGAGGAAGAAGATAATAGAATGACATAACTCTGGGGAATACTAACTTAGAATGAGTGAAGAGGAAGAAGAAATAATGGAGGAGAATGGGAGAGAATCTCCAGAGAGATGAAAGAAAATGCGGCAAGAACAGAATTTTGTTCTCTCCAAAATGATGGCAGGTAACATAGGCAAAATAGAATAGAATATAAAATGTGATTCCATTTGATCCAACAATCCACTTCTAAATATTTAACATAAAGAAATAATCTTATCTGCACATGAATTATTATAATATGCTTTTGCAGTATGTTTTAATAATAGTGAAAAGTTGAAAACAGCCTAAATGTCTCTCAGCCAAAGAATTATTAAAGTAGTATGTCCATGTGATGAAATAGTATGTAGTCATGAAAAATGATGTCAAATTATATTGATTGACATGACTCCACAATTTATTGTTAAACATTTTTAAAAGCAAGTTTTAGAACAGGACCCATAAGATAATTCATTTATGTTACATGTCTATTTATGGAAGGAAAAGTCTAGAAATCTTCAAACATAAGAACTTCCCAATGGCTAAATCCAGTAGACCTTTGTATGGCCTCTGTGTCTTTGACTGACCTCTCTTGGCTTTTGACATTATTAACCTTTTTTGGGTTCCCTCTCCTTGCTTTTTTCTCCTGACCTTAGTCCCATAGTTTGGTACTCAGGAATGAAAAATGGCAGACTTAGTCCTAGGAGAAACCTTCAGAACCAGCAATGTTTATATCCTGGACTAGCGAAAGCAGGGCACTTATGAGCAATTATTTCTGGAAGGGAGCAGTCAGGGACAATATTTCCCTTGTCCTTAATCCCTTTGAGTCCACATAACTCTTTTGGAATAAAACCCTTCCCAGGGTCTCTGGGTATAAGTTTCCTCTCCTTGCCCACCTCTCCCACCCTCTAGCAAAGTTGCCTGGCTGTTCCCTCTCTCCCACGCCTTCTGTTCAATCAAGGAGTTATTTTTAACAGTGTTTTGTATACCATACTTAAATCCTGGCAAAACACCAGAGCTTTGGAGTAGACACTCAAAATGGAAACAGTCTCCCACAGCCTCCCCCATTTCCACAGCTTTTCCTTTTAAAGAGAGAAGATAACTTACCCAAACTGTGGACAGCCCTTCAAGAAAGTCCCCTGGACACTAGCACTGAGCAACTGATTGAGCCATGATGATGAAGGTTAGGCTGGAGGCTGGACCTGCTGTCACTTTGGGCCTGTCTTCCGTCCAGGGTGAGCCTGTGAAGAGGATGGCACCTGCCACTTTCCTGGACTTGGTGAACCTACAGCCCCTGTGCCCCAGAATCATGAAGATTGCCTAGTCTGTCCCCTTCCCAGTAGTTAGAGACTGGACGTGCAGAAGCAGTCCATCCATTTCAAGATACTCAGTAATTGGAGAGTTTCAACTATGAAAAGCCAAACTCTGCATCTCTATAACTTCCCCGCTGTGGTCCTTGCTGTACCTGCCAGAGCTACACAGAACAAGTGTGACCCCTCTTCTGCCTCAGTTGTTCAGGGATTTGAAGCTGGTGACTGTGTGATTGCTAGTCATCTTCTTTTTTTTTTTTTTTTCAGTACTGGGGCTTGAATTCAGGGCCTACAGCTTGAGCCATTCCACCAGCCCTTTTTCGTGTGTGTATGTGTTGGGTTTTTTTGAGATAGGGTCTCACGGACTATTTGCCCAGGCTGGCTTCAAAATGCAGTCCTCCTGATCTCTGCCTCCTGAGTAGCTAGGATTACAGGCGTTAGCCACCGGTGCCTAGCAGTAACTGCTAGTCTTTGCCAGGTATTTCTGCTCTGGAGAGCTATCATAAGGGACCCCTTCTTATTTCACTGGTCCTGTTCTTTGGGTTAGTTCCATTTTGTTACTGTTCCCTTTTGGATTCACTCAGATTAGAACTTGTGCTTGCTTCAAGGGTGGCCTGACACAGGATAGAAGAAGGCTCTCTCCATTTTTGATGCTCCTATAATGACTGACACTCTAAAGATGCTACTTTTTTAGTGGTCATGTCACATTGACCATAAACCTTTTTTTTTTGCAGTGCTGGGGATCAAACCCAGGGCCTTCATATGTCAGGCAAGTACTCTACCACTGAGCTGTATCCCAGCCCATAAACCTATTCTTTTGTATGTATGTGTTTGTGGTGTGAATGAGTGTGTATGTGTGTGTGCATCTCACAGATATATTCTATTCATGACATATAGGAAATGGTACTTATATAAGTGTTCAGTAACATTCTGTGTTCCCATATAACACAGCTTGCTTATATTTACAGACAGACTGATGTTTCAGCTCATGTGTCTGCAAAGGAGGTGGTTAATGATGATCATGAGCAGATGCAGAACTTGAACCTTTCAAAGCTTTACTTTTATCAGCACTCCTGATTCATAAATGATGAAGCTTATCAACCCCATTCCTACCTAGCTTTCCTAATAAACCAGAATATAGTAGGGCTTCATGTGGATGGACCTAGACATTTTTAACAGTGCTTTGAAGCATCCCAGCAGGACCAAGGGCTCAGGCCACACCAGACTCTACAGAAAAGCAGTAAGCCTATTCTTGATGTGCTGCAATCAAGCCCATTCCCATCCTACTCAGCATGAATAATGTAATTTATGGACCCAGACCAAGCCTGGCTAGTAGCTGCCACTCTGGAGCCACATCTATGAGGTAGGATTAGAAGTATAAGAAGACTGGAATAAGGGCTTCTATGGAGAATGAAGAGACTTCTTTCTAGGTTCCCAGGGCAACCCAAAGACTGTCACACAGCAGAGCAGACAAGCCAAGTAGAAACTGTAAGTCTACAGTGATACCAGTCACTATAGACTAGGTTGTCTCTAGCAGCCTTAGTCATCCAAGAGTAGGAGTAATGATTGTTGAGAAGTAATCCCCAGACCAGAAATCATAACCAGATTAATTGTGCTTCCTAGAGAATTCCTGTGTAGAAAACAGTGTCTTTTCCTAGGGTGAGAAGAAAGTTGCTGGGGGTTTGGGTGGGACACAATTCAGTCCATTCCACAAGGCAATGGCCATGATACATTCAGCCATGGCCAGAACATACCATGCCAAATAAGAAGCTGGCCAATGATAGTTCCCAAGACCTTCTATACATGTGGGGAGCAGCAGCCTCTGGTGAATGGAGCCTTCTGGCCTGCTTGGAATGAGGTAGCCAAAGTGCTTCGAAGGCTGTACTCTATAACTTCAGTAGAGAACTTTGGAGAAGGGGGCTAGAGATACTATCAGGCAGTGATACTACATAAACCTTTGAGAATGATGCTTTAACCCATGGATGAACACTGTTGGAGCTGTGTTGATATGGCATGTGGGAGAGGTCAGGCTGTGAGGCACAACAGCCCACCCTGGGCCTTGATGTAACTATCTGGTGTGTGGACTGGACTTCTGAAAGCCTATTCAGTTATTCTGTAGCCTCCAGCTTACTGGTTTAGAACAAGGTAACTCCACATAACCAGAGAAATGGATGTCTGGAGTAGTGATGAGCCTGGCCTGGTGTTGAGTGAGTCCTACTGAGGATGCTGGTGAGGCAGTTACTGCTGTCAACTCTACCTCTGACCTGGCACTGTCTGAGGGACAAGGAGGACATGGCTGATACCAAAACTGGGAGGGGAAGAAGGGAGGTGAAGGAAACCAACAATTATTTAGCAACATGGTATACCAAGGACTTCCTGTGCCTTATCTCATTTCACCTTCACAATAACCCATGAGATAGAAGGTAGCCCCATTTTACATTCATTCATCCAACATGTATTTAGTTGAGTGTCAAGTTCCGCTCTAGGTACTGGAAATAGAGCAATAAGCAAAACTGACAAACACCCCTGCCTTCCTGGAGCTCAGGCTCTAGTGCAGAAGCAAGCAAAGAAACAAGATACGTAAGTAAAACTGTGGGATATTAGATAAAGGAAACCACCAGAGAAAAATAAAGAGGAATGGGGAATAGAAAGCTGGGCTACCATTTTAGATACGGGGATTGGGAAAGGCTTCCATGGGAAGGTACATTTAAGTAAAAACATAAGGATACAAGATTTGGCCTAGTTACAAGTATGGACAGTTCAAACCAAAAAAAAAAAAAAAAAAAAGTAGAGATAATAGGCACAACTGTAGGAACTTACAGACATCTGATTGCTTCAGATATTTCAGTGCCATGGAAAACAAGACCATTTGATGAGAATGAGAATGAGGGAGGAAGTTAAGTATGAAGAGAAAGTGTGAATCTAGGAGAGTAAGAGAATGTCTAGGCTCATAATATATAATAAGATTGCAGGCAATATAAGGACCTCACTTTAATTTTGAGTGAGACTTAATCAGTATGTATTTTTCCCCAGGCAGCAATATCCAATTTGCTGGTAGGTAGACAGTGGAATTTAAAGTTATGTTTTCACCAAGAGATGAGCAAAGAAACTGAGGATGAATTTAAAGAAGTAATTATAATGATGGATTTAGAATTTAAGATGGGTAATAATTTCAGTAAGAGCAAGTGAAGGACAATAAAAAGATGGCAGATGTGTATTGAAAATGGTTGGAATCTCACTACAAGAGTGGGTGAGCAAAAAAAAAAGAGTGGGTGAGTGATAGATACATAGGTAAGTACAGGCTGGCAGAGAGTGCAAGTTTGAAATTAAGGAACACTTTGGCTGTTAGTAGTGACCTAGTCTAGGATATAATTTAGGAGTTAATAGCTGAAATAGGAGAGTAAGATAACTAGATTTGGGGAGGTCAAGGCAGGCCTGCCTTGAAATTTGCCAGTTTCTAGGTTTAGAAGGAAACTTTTCTTTCCTATTTTCTTTGAGATAGGAGCATGTTAAAAATATTGATACTGATGACAGTTGCCTTAGAGAATCTCTTTTACTTTAGTTTTGTTGTTTTTTGGTTTTGAGGGGGTGCTTGAGGGGTTGGTGGTATTGGGATTTGAACTCAGGGCCTTGTGCTTACTAGGCAAGTGTTCTACCACTTAAGCCATACTCCCAGCTCTTTTTGCCTTTGTTATTTTTCAGACAGTGTCTCATGCTTTTGCCTCAGATGACCTCAAACTTCAATCTTCCCAATCCCTGCTCATAAATATCTGGGATTACAGGCATAATCCACAGCACCTGGCATCACTTTAGTTTTGAGTGAGCCTACAGCTAAAGGGAGAGGGAGGTGCTAAGGAACTGGGTGTTGGACTTGACTAAACACAGTAATCGTTACCAGTTTGTGATCACAGACAGAGAGGAAGCTCAAGTCAAAGAGCAGATCCCAGGCAGAGAGAGCCAGAAGCCTGAGAATTGGGTGAAGGGGGGAGGGTCTTAGCTGTCAGGTTTAAGAGATTAAGTCATAGAAATCATTGTAAGGTACTATGTCTAGCAAAGGTGAGATTTGCGCTGAGTCAGTAATAGGGGGATTCCAAGGAGAGAACAAGATGGATGGAACTTGGTTATTTCAAGACCCTTTACTCTTCCAGGATTGGCAGTGCTATGTCTTAGGGAATTGTCATGTGCCTAGAATGACCTACAGTAAGTCTCTGGTCCTCCTTCCAGGTGATTGGTTAGATGGCCATGGGCACTAATTGCAGTAGGGAGTACAGGAGCTCAGGAGGGCAGGGTGAAAGAGGAAATCAAATGCTATAGCCCTATAGTTTCTGGCTTTAACAGTCTCATGCCCCATGTGCAGGGCCCATTATTGTGGCTGTTCATTCATATTCTACTATATGCTAGGTGCTATCCTAGGTACTAGGCATGTGGTATTTGAAGATAAGGCATGGGACTGGGGATGTAGCTCAGAAGTAGAACGTGTACTTAGCTTATACAAGGTCCTGGGTCCCATCCCTGGCTCTGAAAGAAAAAAAAAGGCAAAGTGATAAGACAGTTGGTCTCTCAGCTTATTGTGTGCTCAAATAGAGGGCCTCTTGGGGCTAGAGCACGTGCAGTGGTGAGGGATGGCAGAGGTAGGGGAAATACTGGCATCTTACTGTAAGACACTTCTTCCTATGCATCTTGACAATGGGTCTCTGACAGGTGAGGCTTCCAGCTATCTCTAGCTTAACCCATTCTATTTGGCAATTGATCTAGTGTTTGGGGAGAGATAATTCTGCCCCTGTACCCTCTCTAAGTTAGGAACAACACCAGAGCCCCTAAACCAAAAATGGCAGTACTTTCCTATGGAACAGAGTCCCCAGCTAGGGCAGGGGGACCTGCCTGGGAAATACCAAGAACAGACTGCATTAATGCATTGCCTCCCTGGGGCA